GTATGAGTGGGAAACGGACGGTACTGTACTGTAACCGTAATCGTACTGTAACCAAATTCTAGTGCCCCATTGGTTCACCAAAATTGTGCAGGCCAGGTCCGGTAACTGTGCGGTAATCGTGCGGTAACGGTGTCCCACTCATACGAAATCCGCTCTAGTCTACCTAGTGCAGTACAGTATCATAGTGTACCTAGTATGATAGTGTACCTACCTTTGAGGTCCTACCAACCTCAAAGTAAGGAAATAGTGTGTGTTTGCTGATAAATTCTTGTAATGAAATTGTGTGTTGCTGTAGTACCAAYGMCATRGATATAATCATGAGGTGTGCAGGGGAGGRGTGTTCAACAATGTCCAACTACAGTGAGAGAACCAAAACTTAAATATTATTAATTTTCTTTTATTTGAAACCAATGACCTGGTACAATATAACAAATACCCATAAATCTATCACAGTAGACCTTGTAAGAATAGGCAAGACACTGTTAACTGGTACAACATCAAGCATACACAATACAATGATGCAGTTTCAGCGAATGCCTTCATAAGTACCAACACAGATCACTCAACCATTCTAAGACTAACCRGTCATACAACAAGAAATCTCTCATCAAATATTTCCAATCAACTTTAAGAAAATATTGTCATACTATTCCTTGAGATWAAGGTTAGCAAAGCCTAAGTATAGTGATTCAAAGAAGGTAATTTCAGAATAGTGATGATATTAAATATCTAATCGAGYAGCTTTTCAATGTCACTAGCTATGTCTTTGGTTTCAAAATGTCTRTTGTAACGTTGGTATGGTTTGCCATTTCTATCAATCAAAAACTTTTCAAAATTCCATGAGATRTCACTGCGTCTAACAGGATTCCATATTATAGATCTTTGATCTTGCATAAGCAAGCCATTAGGTCCATCTGGGTGAGTRACAGGTAGTTCTTKCTTCAAGTAGACAAAAAGTGGATCAGCCTTTTCACCATTAACCTCCAGTTTACCAAGGATTTCCACCTTAGGAACAAAGTTATTTCCAGGACGCACATACTTMAGAGAGTTTAGGATTTCTTCATTTKCTGTATTCTCTTGATGGCCRAACTGATTGCAGGGAAAACCCAGAACAACAAGCCCTTTTGAACCATATTTGTCCATGAGKTCATTCATCTGTGTAGAACAATAACAGTACAACATGATGAGAAATGAGCAAAGAAAGAAATGTACTTTGTAAGATATAGTTGTACCTGGGTATAATCCCTGACAGTTGTCCCTCATAAAGATGCAACATTCTCAATAAGAACAACTCTGCCCTTGTACTTGGACAGACTCACTTCATTTCCATTGAGGTCCTTCACAGTGAAGTCATACAAAAACTTTGACATGGCTCGAACCTGTGCTGTCATCTCCCTTAAAGAGGAGTTTGACCTCAACAGGGAGGCTTGCTGGAAAACTGACCTGAACATCTAGAAACTGATCAAGAGTAATGGTTGTATTAATCAAGTTTAATGACTAGATCTATTTTTGTGATGGAATTGCCCCCCTTCGCTTACCCACTCCCCCCTTCGCCTACCCTCTCCCCCTGCCACTCGTCAATGATCGGCGTTACATCAATTGTTTAGCCATCAGTCAAAAACAATAGCTGAAAAGTAATGCAAGTCTCCTTGAATAACAAAACCGTTTGTTTTCTATAGCACGGTATTAAACGCTGCGATGACATAACTTATTTACGTGCTTAGGTTATATCGGCCAGATCAGGTGCGCACAATCACTTTTCATTGCTTGTACAGCTCATCTACAGGTRACAATGTTAAAATTATACTATGTCATTCACAATAGACAGTACTAGATAGCTTGCAAACCTCCTAAATGATGCCTACCTTGTTAATTTCGTGACAGCGTACCTATTCAGTACAATCGTACAAGGCACTCTTTGAAAGGTCAAGAGATCGGCCGGATCGGTCGAACGTTCTGCCCTCCGAATGAACGATGAAAAAACGATCGTTTTCCGAGGGATGGATTTCAACAAAATAAATTTCAAATCACCACAATTTCCCAATCGAACAAACATCTTGGCTTTTTTCAAATAATGCTTATCTTTTCAAAACAGTTCACAACAAAAAATTCTARAATAGYGAGATTGAATGTGTTAACAAGTCGATATTRTATCGGTACATGATCACGTGCCAAAATAAAAAGCCCGGGTTTCAGTTCAAATCTGCATGGGACAAATCAGCGAAGCATGCTTCATTTTTTTTAAACCATTAGATAAAGAAAGGATCTAAGGATCTACAAAGATTACACACATGTTRGTTAAGTGATTTTCAATATAGAACACTCTCATGATGTGCCAATAATGTAGCAGAACAGTTGAAAATGAGTGTGAACAAGCTAGCGTCTTCACTATGCCGGTTGACTGGGGCAACCAACGCTTCGGCATCAATTTTGSAATCTTTGCTGAATTCAACGACGACTGATCAAGAAGTAGTTTTACTTGAACAATTACGGGAATTCTTAAAACCTGAAAGCGTTCATTCTACACAAAGTGAAGACGATTGCGAGAGAGAGTGGCTCGAGAGAGGAATCGATGACAATCCTTTCCCTAGCTCACAGCCATCAACACTGTTTGGTTCTCAACAAGATCTCAATCACTTCACATTCTACGTATATGAGCGTCGATATGGACGAACAGAATTTCTTATCAACTCTACAATAGATGGAAATCAGGAGAGTTTAGATGGAGTAGATGTTTTGGCCACATCGCCCCGAGTTCAAGATGATAGTAGATTATTAGTGCGATTGAATGTACTACTTGACGAACACATCCACTGGTAAGGCCTATAACTCTCAGTTTATCTGAATATTTTCTCACRTTTCATCTTAGGAAGTGTTAAAATACTATTCGCTTAAATCATGRTAAAAATGAACATTTATTTGTAAATTTCATAGCAATTGACAATGTCGATAAACAATATCAGCAGCATTCTGCGCGATTGGTAATCAAATMAGGYTATCTTTCTTCAAGAAAAAGTCTTCTAGCTGTCCTGTGAACAGGTGTTTGAAAYTTGCTTGCATATTTAATCCCGAATGTAAATTGTCCATTTTCCGGTCATCCTGCAGTTTAGCAAAATCCGGCAATCCTGGATTAACCATCTATTTACCTTAATTACTAAAAACTTACTTAATGTCTCTCAAATAAATATGAAATCTTCTATACCCGTAGCTATGATATTGTTTGTCTGCTACAAGTTCATAATAAAACAAACTACTGTTTGTTTTATTATATTCTTGTTTATTACTGAAATATTAGCAGCATCATTTTATTAGAATTGTTAAAGGTACTGTTAGTTAGAAATCCTTAACAAACGACTGCTAATCCTTGAAAATAGTAAACAAATAGATGGAGATAATTGTTGTCATTCATGCATAAATGTGGTTTAACTATCTGTGAAATGACACATTAAAAGCTTATGAATATTGGTAGCAAAGTGGAAAGTCTATTACAGGGTAGTGTACAAGACTAAGAGGCGTCTGCGATGCAGAAGTCAAAACCCTGCAAGTCATTTCAGGGCTCTTACTTTGGATTGGACAAGTCCTAGTAGTTGTTTCTTTGTTTCTTTATCACAAAAAGTTATAACACCCGTGATTTGATTTTGTTTTGTCAGGTTTTCCTCTCAACCACTTAATGTTGAGCTCTTAGGGAGTCTAAAATATGCTGTCTCGCAAGGTATGTTGCCTAGCAATAATAACGTCAATATGTCTCTGTCCTGTGGTGTAGACAAGTCGGAAAGTTCACTGAATGCGAAACAATCAATTTCACATCCTTAATGTGCCTTTCTTAYATGTCCTGCTATGTTTGATCAATGGACACTGATATATGCAGCCATTATTAACTGGAAATTGTAGACAGYTGTCATTTTATATTCTCTTTATACAGAAATAAGAACTTAGAATGTTTAAATTCTATGTTAATCCTCTTTTACCAGAGAGTGTRTATGCTAAATTTGATTCTGTTGAAAATACCTTAAGCAGGTGTTATCTGTATTTTCTATGATACTACATGTATACAGGCCATATATTGATATGGTTTTATATAATAGTATTAGAAAAAAATTTCTTGAAACAACTACAACGGAGAAGCATTGAATAYATTTCTGTTTTTCAATTTTGTTGAAGATGTYYATTTTGTTCCATTGTGATTCAGATAAGTCACTACCAATCCATGAATTCAATCAGTATTCAAATTCAAAGTATTTTTGATCAATCAGTGGCAATTCACTAAYAGTAGTCAGTAAAAATAGTAATTGTTGCTACATTTTCTTTTTCATTGCTGATTTTTTTGAAATGTATTCTTGACTATATGGTTATTTGACATTGCTTCAATGACAGCAAATGTCACAAATTTAATGCAAAAGTATATTAATTTGTTTTTTATTAATTGTYCAGCGCATAGTTTACCAGTAGTACGTAATCATACCTGTGTCCAAATCATGGAGTGGATAAAGATAAGGTCAGACAATGGCTTCAGTGATCAGGTCTTTCCTCTCGTAAAGGTTTGTAGCATTGATAACATGATATAATTATTCTTCATTTTGACCAGAAAAATATTGTTTTATTTACTTGGATTGTTATTCTTAAATTTTTTAACAATGGCTATGGAAATATACAAAATTGACATGGTCAGACACATAAAAAAGGTTGACAGTCGACATACAAGTAGAGTTCAAACACTAAAAGGRTKAAAAATTAATAAATCAGCTAGTTCTAAATAGCCGACTTGTGAATTTTGCCTCAGTAGTCACACACAAAGKAATCAAGATGAGGCGCCGTACATAAATTTCAGCCATTCGTGAAAACACAATAGTTTTTCATAATTGACTGAGGCCTTTATGCACAACACCTCGTCTTGATTCTTTCGTTGTTGACTACTGACGAGAAATTCACCAAATATCGGCTATTGTATTGATTACATAGAAAACAAATAAATTAAATTGAAAATTGGTAGAATTAAGCACTATTAAATCAGTTGACTATGTAATGTTTTTAGATCAGTCTAGCGTTATTGTTTTGTATTTGTAGGCTTTAATTGTATCTGGTATTACKGATGTTTGGTCAGCAATAAGAAATAGCTGTGTGGCAAGACTAGCACCAAGTTTGGATCATTTTACACTTGATCAAGCTCATGTCTTTTACTGTGAATTAATTCAGGTACTAACAATATGTCTTCATGATAATGTGCAACTATCTGCAGCAATGTAGAATTGCTGTTCCTGAGAGTAGATTTTTTATTAAATACTTTGTAATACAGTGCAGCTCTTAAAATGATTAGCATAACGAATATCATCTCTGTCTTAAAGGCACAAGTGCTTCTGCAATCCTTTCCAATTATTGCTTTAATTTGTTTTACAAATAACCGCTTGTTAAAAGATGCTTCCTTTTTGGTTTCAAATCAATGCGCAAAGGTTCTCAGTTGTAYATGAGCATTTTATAAATGACAATATTAAGATGACCTAATTTGATAACAACAAAAGATGATTACGATCACAGTGAATGCAGTTTTGACTAATATTAATTCTGATAATGATAATGATCATATAAAAATAGTTATATAATTGTGCTTATAATATTACCATTTATAATGTTTGTAAAGATATGTCTAGCCAAGGATAGTTCATGGCAAGCTATAGAAGGAGCAGTCATGGGTAAGCACCTATTATGATTATTTTTTTTGTGTACAATATTCAGTAATATTCAGGCATTCTTGTATTGTTCTTGTCAGGAATGACTACTTTAGTAAGAAGGTTTAGCTGGACAGGTGTRATGAAACACCAATTGAACAATAACACTAAGGATGAGATATCACAGTATATGCTGAAGGTGAGAGGAATAAAGAAACACTGCACAGGTTCATAGATAGGTAAAGTGTTGATAGACTAGATAAATGGTTGATAAATGGGATTGAAAGACTGAATGGAATGAACAACATGCTACACATGAAAAAAAGGAATTAAGTCAAATGAATAGTTGAAGAAATGAATAAAAGAATGAATAGTAAGTAAGTAGTAAGTAGYTTAGTAAGTTACTTCACCTACYTTTTTAYRGTGTTTAATTTATCTTTTTACACAAAWGAATGAATAAAATGTTTATTTGATTTCTGTGTACAGTTTGGTTCATCAGAGCAGAGCTCCTTGCCTACCTTTATTATGGATTCTGTGCATTCAGTGTTATACTCACTTCTTGCTCATCCACAACTAAGTATCAGAGACCAAGCTACCAATGCTTTCTCTTCAATACTGTCCAGATGTGAATTCCAGGTAATTAAACCAACACTTGCATTAAATTGAACTTAAATATGTGTTACAGACAATACTACTATCCAGTACTATTAGATTTATGTCAGATTTATTAAAATGTTTATATTTTAATTGTTTGCTATAAATTTTGGTACTCTTTACCTAGTATTTACTCTTTTTCCTCTAGTTGTCAATCATTCATTTCTTTTGAAATTTTTCTTTCATTAATCCATTTGATCATCCATTCATTTTCTATTACTTTCAATTTTTATTTTCCAGGAAGCATTTGTTGCCTTTCAAGATGTCATCCAAAGGTTGTGTAAAGGAATTCTTGACTGTCCTCAGTCTGAGGGGAATGTCATAGCTCTACCACACATTGCTGTATTACGGTCAGATTTCAAATTCCTGCAGGCTTACCAGGCTGAAGGGCTTCTTGGTGTTTGTGTGTTTCTTATCAAGGTAAACAATATAAAAAAGCTATTATTGAAGAATTGTTAACCATTGTCCATGTTCAATGAATATAATGGCGTGTTTTCCAGTAATGAATTCATTGATCCAAAGTGTTAAAGTCAAGTTTAAATTCACTTCCTCCTTTCAAAGTGAAGTATTCTGTGAAGGATGTTGATGCCATTTTTATATTTTTCAGCATATTCCTCCTGGTTACCTGTTRACAATGTGGCCATTGTATTTCTCTACCTTCAATCTTTATCTCATGCACCCTGCTTCAACTGTAAGACAGACAACAAGTGCAGTCTTCAAGTATCTAGGTGAAGAAAACTTTATCATTAATGAAATTCCTTAAATGATGCTGTTAAATTAAGAAATCTAAATTTATTTTCAATGGTTTATTGCTTTTACAGTTGCCAAAGAGTCCAGTAGTCCTGTATTGCTAAAGCTGGTCTTGCAAGGCCTAGCAGCAGACTGGCAAGTTGATACKGATATCTTGCTTTGCGACCTTCAAAGTAGAGTAGCAACAAGTAGTGAACAGACRGACAGTAGCTACAGGACACCCACWCCAGAGGCTCTACATGGCGTGTCRCCTGTTCAAGCTTCCACAAGACAGGGAACTCTAGCCACTCCWCCACCAATAGATACYRCAGCTGATACTCAAGAGAGGCAGTGTTCTTCTGGTTCTCATCCACCACTTCACAAACAGCAAAGAATAAGTATCAGAAATGTTCAGAGGTTGTTTGATGGTAAATATAACTGTMAGAAAAAGTCCTAGGAAAAGATCTTTATTGACTCAGTGATTTTGCTTATTATGTTGTTAGTCAGCACAATAAACTATAAATTTTAATTGTAACTGCCAGTAACAGCTTTATGATTTGTACTTATGTAAAACTAAAGTGTTATCTTCCTTCTTGTAGAACGTCCTTCACAGACAGCAGGTCATGTYGTTTCTCAGTCTTGGGAATGGAGAGAAGGCAGACTGTTGGCATATGARCTTATTTTAAAGTTTGTCATTGCTAACCATGTACACTATGTCTTTCCTACTTTTGCCCTCACTACGAGTAGYGCAAGTGCCTCCGTTTCTGTTGATGAAAACTTGATCAGGTATAGAAAGTGGGTATCAACGGTTAAGATGACTGTAATTAATGTACATGATTGCAGAATTTTAAGATCATGATGAATGTGGATGATTTTCATCGGTGAATATTTGGAGTGATAATATCATTTGTAATGCATTAGTGTCTGTTTGCAATGAGTTCAATAATGTGAAGTTGACTACTGTTGACATGATGCCTTGTTGTTGAGTTGATGTTTTTGCATCATTCATCATTAATGATAAAGAAGCAAGTGATGCACAGCAAATTGCTTGCACATGACAAATGCACCATAATCTGCATGCCTTGATATTTTTTAAATTTGCATTCACCACAAAGCACAAAGCATGTTTTCGAGAAATACGCAGCCCACTGAAGTTTATAAATTATAATATATCTCATCACAATAATGAATAAGCTTTAACCTCTAACATGACATTGGTAAATAATAACAATTGTAGCAATAATAATTGTTTACTATTATTAAATATATATTTTTATTTCATTTTTTATCAATTTAACAACTTAAAATTAAACCTGCTTTGTGTAAAAAAATAGCACTGTTTTCACAATTTGGGTTATAATTGTATTCATTTTCATTTCATATATTTCATATTCATTCCATTTCCATCATTTAACAGCAAGCAAGGTAGACAAAGGTCAGTAGTTTTCATGTGATCATCACTAACACTGTSAATAACCTTCATTGAAGTGTTTGAGTTAGTTCAGTATTATCATTGCATCTTGTCTTTTTTCAAAGGGCATGGACTGCTGATTCTTTGGCAGGACTAGATATGAATAACTCCCAAGATGGAGATACAATTAAACCTTTACCTAAACTCAGGTTCTAAACTTCTTGTTGTTGATCACTAAATGAAGATAATTTTAATTCCATTTACTAAATATGGCATAATTAGAGTATAGGAAAGTGCACAATTTGCAGTGAAGCTTAAAATAATTAAATGGTGGATTTTCCTTAAGATTTTTATTTWTAAATAGACCAATAAATGAATGAATATAAACAACCAGGAATTAATGTAAGAATGAGAATGAATGAATGGCTGAATAAATGAATGAATTGTCAAATGAATGAACCAGTAGATTTATAAATAAATGAGTAAATGGATGAATGAAAGCTTGAATTAGTCAGTAGATCAATATAATAACAGACACAACATCCATGCATTCAATGGACCTGTTTTGGACTCCATTAAAAGCTTACTTATCATTGAATTTTTTTTAGAAGAGAATCTGATGTTTCTTCAACAACTCAAAACTTAAAAAGCAACAGTTTTGCAGCCATTTCCTCTCAGATGTCAAGTTTCACCCCTATGACAATTCAGGTAAGGTACCAYGACATGTGACTCTCAATTATTTTGTACTTACTATGGTACAAAACACTACCTTGCAGGAAGATGAAAGTGTCTATATAGAGGCTGCCTCTGAATATTGTCACAAACATCAGGTGAAAACACTAATTTTATCATTTGTAAGGTTCTCTTTACTTATGCATGACTTTCAAAAATGTCATCAATATGTCATAAATGCCTTTTGAAGGTTTGGGTAGAAGGTAGCCTTTTGAACAATAGTCCTCATCTGTCACGTTTTTTTTTAATCTAGAACACATCTCATATTAAAGAAGTTTGGAGTAGACAATCCAAGTAAGTTGAATTCAAATCCATCCTCCTGGTCCCACTATTCATCATTCTGACTGTCTAACCTGAACATAACAATTTTTAATTTTAGTCGATCATCATCAGTCAGCAAAATTGAAGAYGATGGTTCAAGAACTAGAAAACTTATTCGTCAGTATTCAGTGACATGCCAAAAATATCCTAAAAGACCATTCCGACCTCCTAAACAACAAGGTGTTTTACTGGTAAGTGAGATTATTGCAGTACATTGCTGTTTTCATATCCTTTAGTAACAACATTGTGCTTATTATTCAGGCCAACTCACTGCTTTGYCAAGCATCAGATTTAGAGATGAATACAAATAGTACCATGAARGCATCAATTATGGTAGGGTTGCAAATACAAATCTTATTCCATTGGCTTAAAAACCTTTCTTAAATATCTTGTTTGGGTTTTTATGTTATTAGGTGTCTGGCCCAGTGTCAAATATTGTAAAAACTTTAGCTTCACCCTTAGGAAAGATAGAGCAACAGAATAGTAAGTGCACTGTATAATAATTACTGAATGCTGTTAGTTACTATTTGATCGTGTTGTCCAATAAATTGTTATTTAAATGAAACCACACACCACTTAGCAACTWAAGTTATAATCTAGAAAAAAGTCTTCTACCTACATGCAGACTTAATTGATACTATAAACTAAATAATAAGGGGGGAAAGCAAGTATTCAAATATTTTACATAAATGACTACATGTATCTAGAGAAGTATGGAAAGCCTTTATTTGATAAGACAATCTCCAGAAGATGCAAAGATTCCCATTTGACCTTATTTAGCAGTATCATTTTTTAAGTATTTTAGTGGTGAGACATAATGAAACCGTCTTTTCTTTCCTCAGGTGATTTTTTTATGTACAAAGAATTAAGAAACAAATCTAGTAAACCTTTGTAAGTATCAAGCATCTTTAAGATTGTGTGCTGTTCACTTCAGCTGTTCAAATTTGTTAATCTCATTATTTCTGTTCTTGTTTAGAGAGGATTTGCCGCAATGGGCTTTTCAACTGGAGCTTGAACCTTTGACTTGTATATTATCACAGGTAACTGGTAAAACATGCTGTGAAACAACCATAATTCTTTTGCAAAAGGCTTATCATCTATCTTTCTTGTAGATATTGTTTCAAACTATAGAGTGCCTTGCTGATTCTAGATGGGAATTACGTAGAATGGGACAACAGGTACAATCCATCTATCTGAGTGTGTTTATTTGATTCTGTGAAAGTTACATCATGATTCATCCCTTTTTTTTAGCTTCTTCCGCTTGTAACAGAGACAATACGATGGTTCAACATGGCTACCTTGGCTTATCTGTGGGACAATCATTTAACAAGAGAGAACACTCTTTTATGTTATGGTGGTTGTATTTCTCTAAAAAACTCTGTCATGCATGCTGGAAGACTAAGATATTACCTGGATCAACCACCCACGACATGGAAGGTATGTCAKTGKTAACACTACAAGAAGGAATCTAATACTATCACTTTTTGTAAAGGAATAATATCCCAGATTGGAGGAATATGACCCAAGTGATAACCTGTGATTGAACTGCAATTTTCKTGGATGAAATTAAGATTGTCTATGCTTGAAACTGAAGGCTTCAGCTTTAAAAATTCTTTATTTTTTTGCTTTGCTACTTGAAAGCAAAAATATCAAACATGAAATACAAGCCATCCCTCTGGAACCAGGGTGTCATTTGATGAATTATTGTCATCAAACGTTTTAGGTTTTATCAATTCAAACTTTTCTTGATATTAAATAAATACTGTTTGTATTCAGGATCCAGAGAGCTGCAGTAGAGTAGCAATGTCAATAGTTAATGAGATMAAAAAAGGCATCAAGAAATGGCTATCAAAGGTAATGTATACATGACACTATAAATGAACACATACAAGGACCTCATCAGTTCCTGTTTTTGATTCACAGATTCACAGGATAATTCAGTACCCTGGCTATGACAGACTCACAGTAGTTGCTATGGAAACCATTATGCTTTCACATATTTATTTCTTTACTTCACTTGATTTTGAACAGGTTTGTTGACTGATTTATATATTTATTTATTGAAATACAAAACATTACTAAAAAAAGAAAATTTAAAGTAAGATAGACACAAAAACATTCAATTATTGTTTGTATTGTTACCAGAAACTTGAAGCTGAGGACCAAATACTTGATGTTTTGTTGAGTGTTTTCACTTGTTCATTTCCTGAAAAACCTCTCAGTAAGTGACATCCAAAATAACTGTAATTCTAATATTGGTAGATGACATTGATATAGACTTGTTGTGGTGAAATTCGACATTAATTAATGTTGCCACATACATGTATATTGAATATTGTGTCTGTTTATTTTTAGCATCTCTTATTGACTATAATGATCAAAATAGAAGTCAGTTTTTATTTTGAAGTTGTTTATATGTTGGATTTCTTCTAYTTTAGGTGCAGCATTAAAGTCATTTTGCAGAGAACAAACTGCGGAGTTCTTAGTTCCTGTAGATGGGTTTTTAAGGTAACTTGTATATTTTGAAAATAACACAGGAAGCTCTGATAAATACTTGACATTTTTGTTCAATATATCTCAATAATTGAATTATCTGTTGATTATTGATTACTATAATTACAATGCTTTTATTTGTTTCAGCTGCTCCTCAAGAATAGAGTCTCCAGAGAAAAATGCACAGCAGGTTTGARTATTTTCTAGTTTTTAACTGTCAAAAGCATGGACTTGTGCACTTATTATGTGACTTGTTTATTTGTTTTAGTTTGGAAAGCATTTCTTTTCTGAGGCACATGTAACTTTCAAGAGTTTTTTGAAGACCTGTCAAGTCCATAAACTGGTAAAAATATGTTATTCACATTGACTATCCAAGTGATTCAACTTTGCTGGCTGGTTGATGTCTTCATACTTGATCTAGATGTGTTCTTATAATAATGCTTAAATTTTAATTTTAGGTTGTCATATTTCCTGTCTTGATTCACTACATTGAGTGGTTGTCAGAAGAAACTGCACTTTGTCATTCACTGGTAGATGGGTAAGTGCTCATGTCTTGAATATGTCATATAAAAACAAGAGATGTGTTTAGATCAGAAATAAAGTGCTTTTTTCTGTTGTAATTGTTGAATAAAACATTAGTGTTTGTTTACAGGCTACACCATATCTTAATCAAGACACAAGAACTAAAGAATTTAACCACACAAAGGTCATTGCTTTTTTAGGAAAAATTATTTATTTTCAATAGCAGTGCTTCAAACATATACTTTATTTTGTTGTTATAACAATTGCTGATGTAAGTTTCATTTGGTTCACAGACAAAACCTTGATTCTCTCATTCAAACATACTTTGAACATGGCTTGATAGCTGTAAGTGATGCCATCACATCATCAAAGGTCAGTGATTGGACTGTCTATTGTAAGTATTATTGTATTGATTGTAAGCCGCGTGGCTACCAATTGCGCCTTAAAACAGCGGTCCGTGTGAAATGATCTATACATGTGAAGCGCCTTTGAACTCAGAGGATATCGGCGCKATATAAATACCACATATTATTATTACTAAGCCTGGGTTACCTTGTTTTTACTTTCTAKGTATGTCATTCTTAATTATTCTGACTCTATCTTTATCTTCTAGGCTTTGGACATAGCTATATTAAGACAACTTTTAGACTTAACTCTTAAGACTTGTGAGTTCATTGATCAACCTTCACTCAGCCATATTTTCAAAGCCATCAGTGAAAAACTAGACTATGTAAGTAAGCTCAGTGTATGAACTACATTTATTTGGTGTGATATGGAAAAACATTGTACCCCTATTCCAATTGTTCCTTGGCCATAATTATTACATTTTAATTTACATTTAATTAGAATATTACAACCTGTAATAACCTGTAGTATTTTGTTGAATGGTTAAAGGATCCTGATCTTCTTCGTTTGGTCACAATTGACAATGCAAGTCGTACCACCACTCCTGACCTGTACATCTTGAGTAATGACATACCCACAAGTCCTGTGGATGAACCGGCTATTCCAGTAGAAGAGGAAGATGACGAACCAGGTAGAATACCAATTGTCTACAAGATATTAAACATGGGCAGTGCACACTTTGTGAGCCTCAYCTTCTTTGATCAAAATAGCTYGAWTTAGCTTCTTCAGTCTTTTAGTTTGAGTTATTTTGTTCCAATAGACTCCATAAGAGTTCTTCGGGAATCAGAAGCATTGGATGCATCRCATGGTAGTGGAAGAGGTCCAGTGCGACAAGATGATGATGATTCTGACCTGTCAGACTGGGACAGCTGGGAAGATGAAGAAGAGGTAAGGTTATGGCTCATACTTTGATAAACAGTGCAAATGAATACTTCAAGGAGAGGAATAACTCTTCTTATGGCTTGGGTTTATAGATTATTTCATGAAATAGACTGCTTTGTGGTAGACTCACTATCACTTTTTTTATCACTTTATCATCCAAATGGATCGTTATGGCTATTGAAATAAGTTGTTCTTAGTGATTTACACTGTTTTTGTGTTGCAGGATCAGTCAGCATTGATAGCAGTGTTTTCAGATTTTCTCAAAAACTTACAGAACATGTATGAAGCCAAGACTGACCAAGGTAAAATGTACATACTGGTGCCAAGAAAGAAAGCTACACTGCTTCCTATACTTTACTAGTAACACATCATGAGATTCCTGATTTAGAAGTGTTTTATTGAGTTATAAATTCAGCATTTTCTTATTTGCAGAAACCACCTCAGTCTTCAAGAGGCAGTTACAAAAGTGTGAAAGATTAGAAAGACAAGCAATTGCAAGGTGCATTTATGAAATATGATAAGTGGATGGATGAAGTAAAAACAAGTAAATAACTGATAATTAATAAATGAAGTAAAAACATACAAATAAAGGCATTAATGACTGGATTAATTATTGAATGGTTAATTGGAACAATAGATGAACAAATRAATGGGAAATAATGGATGGGAAGGAAGTGTTAATGAATGAGAACACTTGATGATTGAACTTGAATGTCTCATTTGTTGTCTTTTTTTTCAGTGTGATGCAGTCATAATACTCAGAAATAGCAAGACATATTTCATCTCTGAAAATAAAAATAAAAACTTAAAGAGGAATTCACCATGTAAAATAATTATGATTAGATAAGGTTTTAGTACTTTTAGGCTTTTTTTGCTGTATTTATTGTCAAACTCACATTGTTGTGTGATTTGGTATTTTATTCTGTATATTGTGTACAATTTCTGTTTTGTATAGATATTGTATTTTCTCTGGGGAAAAGGATTTCTATCCCAGAGTTTGGCCCAGCAGCTCAAAAGATATTGTTCTAAATTAGTTGAAAAATAAAGACTATTATTTATAAGTGAAAAATATGATTTTATGACTACTTTAAATGTGTTTGTTCCGTTCAGTACAGTGTCACATCCYTGTTAGTGTGTTCATTTCCACTAATATTTCATATTTCTTTCTGCCATCTCTTATGATTGGTAATTCCCATTCATCTATTTCTCATTTCTTTTTCTTACATTCATTAATTCTTATACATTGCATATATTTTTGTATTTTTGTATTCACAATACTGTACCACTATAATTTCGTACAAGATTGCACTGATAAAACGGATTTTGTACAAATTTGAATGAATTACTATGAATATATGAGTGTTGCTTGTGGGATCCCTGTGTGATTCAATGGCTGCGCCCATAACAGGTCGAGTGTCAACAACGTGGATCGAGAAGTTTTTTCGATAAGTATTTAGTTCTCTTGGTAAATTGCACTCTTCTCTGCTGTGGGCTTTCACGTAGTAAGGATATAGTTCATAAAAAACATGGCAGCTTCTGGCGGAGTTTCTTCGTCAGGGAATCCAGTCTGGTCCGCGATTGTTCTTACTTGTCAAAACAAAACAAGTGCAGACGCTTATAGAAAAGGTAAAGACGTCACTTTTAGATATCAGACCGATTTTGGATAATATGTGAATTGTTTTCGTTGGTATGCTAATCCATCTAAGCTAAAGATCCTAGTTACAATCATGGAAGTTGTCACTGTAATTATAAATTGGTTATTCTGTAGAGCTTGAGAATCACCAGCAACTAGGGCTTATAGACAAGAGTACTTTGATACTGACCATTGAGGACCCAAAGTCAAGAGTAGGGAGCGGAGGAGCAACATTAAATGCTCTATTGGTTGTAACTGAACATCTTAGTGCTAAAGAAGGCTTTACAGTAAGTACTGCATTAATAACAAATGTACTAGATGATTGATAGATTATCTTGCTGATTGATTGATTGATTGATCGATTGATTGATTGATGAATTGATTGGTGGGTGGGTGGGTGGGTGGGTGGATGGATTGATTGATTGATGAAATGATGGATTGACTTACTGATTGATTGATGGATGGATTGATTTATGATTAAGTGGTTGTTGATGATTATTTTGGCAGAATGATTGTTGGATGAATAGAAGATTGGGATGAATAATGGATATGTGAATTGATTTGCTTTCTGATGATTTAACTGGTTTTGATCATGATTATTTAACATTTTTTGCATTTCTTTCTCAGACAGTAGACTCAAGTGTGATTACAAAGAGTAGAATATTGATTATGCATGTGGTAATGTTATTTTAAAGTAAAATATGTCATTAAATATGTGAATAGTCTGTTGCTGTCATACTTGGTAAGTCTTTTAATACTGAATGTTTTTAGGGACGTGATTATCCCTTCAGCACTTGTGGTCCAGTGTTCACAACTTTACCTGCCAAACACTACACCAATCAATCACTAGTGTCATTAGCTGATTGTCTTGTGACAAACTTTGACTGCCTACTTTATTACCTGACTAATAGGGTAAGGACTACTGTGTCATTGTTTTATTTCTTCATTCCTTAATCCATTCATTTGTTCGTCCAKTTTTTCATTCATCATCAGACTTTTCATTAATTCTTTCCTTCACTCCCTTTGATCAAATTCTTCATTCTTGCTTTGTGTAATTCACATGTATGTATACACAATATATAGATTTGTCATGAATCACCTAATGGCGTATGGGTGTGCAGTACCGATATGATGCTGTCAATTCCATCAACAGCAGGTTTGTCTTCTTTGACAGTCAATCTGATTGTTTAAATGTATATTATAATCTCTGAATATGTTGTGACTGTGCTAATCTTTTACTCTACAGAAATAAAATGGTCCAATATCACCCAAGACATTGTTCTAGTTTTGTTTGAGAGTCATGTGCATAATGCTCTTGATCATGGTGTTTGTCAATTAGATGATGAGGTAATGTTAGTAGATTCAAATAAAACAAAAGGGAATATAATAAAAGATAGATTATAAATAGATCCTAATTATTGTGAATCATTTTATACAGGGAAATGTGAAGAATATAWTTTATAGAGGAACAGAAGATGAAGTCAAGACATGTGCCTTTGATAATGGGAAAGTGCCATTGGTAAGGGCAAATAGTCACAATTATTTCCACATATCATCTTGAAAATGTACAACAAAATGATGAAATTAGCTTGCAATGATGGATATTTGTTCAAATAATTTTGTTTCTTCATCAAAAGTAAAAAGAATTGATATAATTGCAGTTTTGTATCTTGTTGTGTACATTATATTATATTGTTTAATTCTTTCAAATAAGACAACTAGTACTCAATATGACATTGTGACTTGATTGATTGTATTGCTGYATTACTTGATTTGAAGGTTGGAAGTATTGTGTTCTTTAATATCAAAGCAGTTGAGAAGCTGTTGACTCTGCATTCCTTCCCATTACTTGATGCGTGTACTTACTATGGACTAGATAATGGAGCCAAACCAATACAGGTAACTTACTTGTAATTATTCATCACTATCAATAAGTTGTCTTCAGCTGCGAATACTATTTTTGAGTCATCATGTATGATAAACACCATCATTGATTATAACTATCATTGTTTTTATTCATGATCAGATTYAAGTCTTACCATTTATCAAAAATAMGTTYATACATTCTATTCTTCAGCTTTCCCTGTTTTTTGACATTCTTCTGAGCATGGCTACAGGGGTTGTAGAGGAGGATTTTGTGTCTGGTAAGGAAAGCAGTGCATATGGTAAAAGTACTCGAGTAGGTGTCAAGAAGATGAGTGATGATGATAAAGTTGCCTTGCAAGGTGCTTGGAAAACTTTGTGGAAGCATCTACRAGGAATGAAAGTTCATGGTGGTAAGTTATCTTTTTATTAGGAATTAAATGTTTTCCTGTAATATTTAAGTCCTTACAGCTTTGATAAAGGGCATTTTCCTTTTCTTATTGTCCTCCATTACTACTCAGTTAATCTCCTTCTTTATTTAAGTCTATCTTTTTTCCTTTGCATTTAGCTATTCATTTCAAACTTCCTAGTAGGTCTTTTTCCCCTTCTGTTTCTTTGTCTTGTGTTCTTCTCCTTTTATTTCTTCTTTTTATTTTCTTCTCCTTCTCTTTTATTTTATTTTATTTTATTTTTTGTTAGTTGTTAGTTATGACAGTCGATTGTTTTTTCTTTTAGCTGTGATGGAAGAAAGATGCCAGTATCATTACATGACTCAAACAGGAGTTTGCTACAGGATACAGTTACAAAAGTGTTTGAAGTTCATTGAGAGTGGTAATCTTCCCTACAAAGCTGCATCACAAATGCATGTCTGTATAGAAAACGTAAGGTTTCAGACTATTTTTTGAAACAAAGATGATGTTATCATGATGTAATGATCCTTGAACTTCTGAGTCTAATCATTACACCAAAAATGGTCGATTTTTAACAGGAGTTTGCTACAGGATACAGTTACAAAAGTGTTTGAAGTTCATTGAGAGTGGTAATCTTCCCTACAAAGCTGCATCACAAATGCATGTCTGTATAGAAAACGTAAGGTTTCAGACTATTTTTTGAAACAAAGATGATGTTATCATGATGTAATGATCCTTGAACTTCTGAGTCTAATCATTACACATCTCTAAAATGAGCTTGATGTTTACCAAATARTACATGTTGGTTTTCAGAGTCAAGCAATACACAGCAATTCAATTGTGGTTAATTCTATAATAAGTGGCTCAATAACTGTGAAGGAGAAAGCTGTCATTACTCATAGTTTTTTACAGGTAAATGTACAAGGCTTTGTTACTTGCTTTATATATCTCAGGTCTTGTAGATATATATATATAGAGATCTCTGCAGTCTTGCGTTGCTGTGTGCTAAATAAATAAATAAAGAATAAACTTGAGTAAATGATTAAATGAACAAATAGGTGGATAGAAACAAATGAATGAAGTATAGATAAATGCTCCTTAGAAAAACTGCACAATTTAACTACTCACACATTTCTTTTCTATCATTGTTTTAGGGTGACTTTACAGTAGGCACTGGATGTGTGTTGTCTGGAATTGGACCAAATGACTTGGTTTGTAAACTATTGTCAAGCAAGAAGCTAGTCTCCTTTGYAGCTTGTTCTGTCTCTGACAGGAAGCACRAGAAAAGGGGAGGCTGCARTGGAGACTAGTRAGCAATAACCAGCCTGCATTATTTTCAYTTAMMAMWWASMWAWWRSAYWKTRCACTGTATATTGATTTGATGTAACCTGAAATTAATGTTGTCTTATCATTTCTTCAAGGGTGATGCAAAGTGTGTTCTTGACTTGCTTTGTCTGTTAGGATACAATATATCATTGCCTAACATTAGCTCCAATCCAGTCAAAGTGTTTATTGTGTTTGGTGTTAATGACCACTTGGAAGTGAGTAATCTATTTTACATTATAAATGACATATATAGTCAAGTAGTTGAAAATAGGGGAATGTTTGACAGGAGAAAAGCATGTCAATCGGATACRTGGAGTGAGTGAATAAATGATTGAATGCATATGGGATGATTGGTCAAATGGATGAATGAATAAAAGAATATGTCGTTCTGAAGCAAGTTAAGTAACAAATCAAACCAATAAGAAAATAAGTATGTGATCACATATCTGTTTTACTTATAGAAAAAAATGACAGATAATTGTTCCACTTTCTGTAACACTCACTGGGATGAGGTCTTCAAAAGAACTGGATTGACAGCTGATGATATCTGGGTCCATGGTTTGGTTAGTGAACTAAGTCTATATATATTTAAGAAATATAAAACGGCACGCGTGTCTCTGTCCTCTCATATAAATACGGTGGGAGTTCAAAAAACACGAGAGAAGCAAGCTTAGGAACAAGAGCGTAGCGAGTGTTTCTCTTGCTTCTCGAGTGTTTTTCAACTCCCACCGTACGTGTTTATATCAGAGGACAGAGACACAAGCAGCCATTTTATATTTCTTTTATAAAATTTTTCGAGCAAAAAGCAAATTTTTCCGGTAAGCCATGTCTCTGTCCTCTGATATAAACACGGTCGTCAGCCAATCAGAGCGCGCGTTATATATTGAAAATTTTATAAAATGTAATATTGTTGGTGTAACTGYGATCATCTATTTCTCTACAGCCTGAGGATAAGCGTACTTTATTTAATGCCCGCCTCTTCCCTGTCATCCATCCTCACGATGATCAGGGTATGTCACCTTTAAGTGACTGTTTTTGGCTTGCTGGAGGAGAGACTGGTTACCCAAATGAAACCATGAAGCGAAGGTACTGTATCCCATGATACAAGCTGACTGATGATGGTTTTAATAGCAATGATGATTGTGATCATAGTTTATGGTGACCCTGGTGCAAATCTTAGACAGGATCCTGTCAGGATGGATCCTACAGGATCCTGTGTAAGATCCTATTTAAGATCCTGGCAGGATCCTATGTAAGATCCTATCCAAGATCCTGTGTAAGATCCTATTCAAGATCCTGTCAGGTGTCTAAGATTTGCACCAGGGGATGGTGATGATATATGTACAGAGCAGAGTTGTTTGATTGTGCAAAAGCTATAGCATGATACATCTATTCAATGTTTTCCATTGCATTAATACCAAATGAGGTTCTGTGACTGTCTGTGCCTTGTTTGATAGTGATGATAGTTTTTGGAAGTGATGATGACATGACTGTGTATGATGTAATGATGATAATTTTAGTGTAATAACTACAATGCCATAATCACAAGAATATGTAAATAGTAGAGACTTCTTTTGCATTATTAGAAGCAATCAATGACAAATAACTGTCATTTTTCACAGATGGCATACATCATGGCGTCTTTCCCTGACAGAAATCATGTCATGTGTGGATCCTGGTACTGAGTTTGAATGGAGAAGGAAATTATTCTTCCAAATTGGTCAACRTCARGTAGAGGAGGCWYTGGAGGGCAGTACCAACACATGCTTCCTCCCCTTCTTGAAGACATGTGCTGTAAAGGGTTTTCATGAAGAAATCTTGTCTACAATGGATAAAGGTACATGTGTGATCACTGCTTTCATTKTAAAATACACATAAAAGCACCAATACATTYTYTGTWCCATWTACCAAACASTCTGAGATAAATACTGTTTCACGTCGCTATTTACTGTAGTTGCATGCAGGAGTGACTCCAGTGAGTCCATGGGTGTGGCTGCTCGTACATTGGCATGTATTGCTGATGTWTTAGGGGCAATGGCTGGCGAGAAAGCTGGTTTACGTAGCGGTCCTGCACAGAATCAAGCATGGAAGCCGGCATTCCAGTTGTTGGAGGTAAGAATCGCGACATTTTAAGTTTTGAMGTTTTTTCCATAAACCGTTGAAATATTTGGATTTTGTACAATTGTTATTCCCTGATCCGGCATATTTCCATTGATAGTTAATAGCTAATATTGTRAATGGGAAATAACTAATCCTAACCCAATCTCTTCAGAACAAAAGAATTGRAGAAGGTGTCAAGGCCATGGCTGCTGAGAGAACCAAATGGATGGACAGGTATAATGGTTATGAACTGTCAATAAAGTTACCAATTGTGTTTAATTGTGTTTAATTTGAGGCATATGTTAACATAGACCAGATCTATTGATTCGTGCTGCACGGCATTATGAAGGAGCAGAGCAGATCCTAAGACGACACGCTGTGATGACYGCTAAGGAGGTTAGTTTGTTAGTTTGAAGTTCTGCTAGGAATTCTTTGTCCATTAATAACTTACGTTAATGTATTCTTTTGATTAGTTCATAACGTTTGAAAAGAAAGACAGTCCTCCCATGAATCACTGGGTAATAGCTGAAGCACCAGGTAACTTTTTGTAGTCTTCTTTGACTAACCAATGGTGCAGTTTAATTCCTAACACAACTACCTCGTATTCAATTTACAGCTCGAATTGATTTTAGCGGTGGATGGACAGACACACCACCTATTGCTTATGAACATGGTGGTGTTGTAACTAATGTCGCTATTCAACTAGATGGCAAGGTACAAGCTCTGTTCATATAGGGATGAGATCAAACAGTCAAACASGCAATCTTTTTAACAATCAATCAACCAATCATTCCATCCATCAATCAATCCAGCAGACGATTGGTCTGTTAATCAATCAATCTTTTTATCAATCAATCAGTTCTTCCAGCAATCATTACATCATTCATCGATCATTTTGTCCATACGATAATAATCTATAAATCAATCAATCCTTCCACAATCCTCATATCAGTCAATCCTTCCATCAATCAATAATAGCATACAAATACATGTTGTTCTTCACGACAGAAACCACTCAAAGTRAAGGCGAGGAGAATTCCTGAGTAAGTAGTACATTCATCAGTCAGTGCTTCAAAGAAAAAATCGCGTTTGCGTTTCGTTCTCARATGATAAATAAAAAAGATTATATGAACACTAGGGTGTAATGGGGAGCAAGTATGTTTACATGTTGCAGTCTTGGTTAAATGTAGATATGTAGATATGTTGATTTTTTTATATTTTTATTCATTTTTAGGCTRCACATCGAGATCTTGATACTTGCTGGAACAAGTCACCGCATTCCTATTATATGCAAAGAGCTCCAAGACATGATGGACTACTCTCAACCTAATGCACCCGGTGCACTGGYRAAGGCATGCTTTTTTGCTGCTAAACTAGTCGATCTATCGTCTCCACAATCCCTTGCGGACCAGCTGAAGCAGAAACATGGTGGAGGGTTTCAGATCGAGTCCATGGCTGACCTACCTTATGGAAGTGGACTKGGCACYAGTAGTATTCTTTCAGGCGTTGTYATGGCAGCAGTTTTACATGCCGCTGGTCTCACTGCAGATGTGACGTCTCTTATCCATGCCGTCATGGTTGTGGAGCAGATGATCACATGTGGCGGAGGCTGGCAGGATAACGTTGGGGGACTGGCGCCTGGATTTAAGATCGCGCGTTCAATGGCTACCCTTCCTGTACAAGTTGTTTACGAGAAAATTGATGTTCCCCCAGCGATGATCGAGAAACTGAATCAGTGTTTGGTTTTTGTTTACACGGGGAAAACAAGACTTGCTAAAAACCTTCTTCAGGTGGGTTKTTACTTATATAAATTGCTATAGGACACATGCTTCTCAGTTCTGACACCTTGGATGCATGTAGCGCGCGACGAGTTCTCTTTCCTCGTCTCTCTTTCCTCGTCTTTTGTTTCCTTGTATTCATTTTCGTTGTTTAATCTTGACTTCGTATTCCAACTTTTCTCTTAAGAACGTGGTGCGAAACTGGTATGGCAGAGAACCCAGCATTGTCAAAGTAGTTGACGATCTAGCAAGTAACGCCGAGAACATAGCTAAAGCACTCGCTGAAGGTACGTCAAACCTTTTTACATAGAGATATGTGATTGGGTAATATCAACCAATTATATATTTGTCTTTGGCAGGTGACCTGGCTTGGTTTGGACAGTGTGTTAGCAACTACAGGGAACACAAAAGGCTTATTGCTCCAGGTGTGTATGACAAGTTGTTTGTATGCGTAGAGGACGTGTCTTGTTCACACAGATGATCTTTCAGCGCTGCGTTCATTGCTGATCGAAGGAGGCTGTCTCCTTCAACACGCAAGAGAGAATACCACCTTCCAAGTTTACTTTTATTCGTCATTAAGTGTCAATTGCTCCTATTCTTAGTTATTCTAGAAACATCCTCTGCTAGTCCTGGTGTATCATGATGTATAATGAATATTGATTGCATTTTAATTTCTTTTAGGCACCGAGCCCGAGACGATTCGTCGAATGATGGAAGTAGTTCAACCCTATGCATACGGTAGGTTGATAATAATGATAGCTATGATGATGATGGTGGTGGTTATGATGACGATGCTACCGATGGTCACGGTTTACATATATAGTGTTTATTTTAATGATGATATACCAATTGATATCATACCTTTCTCAGGTCAGTGTCTTGCTGGTGCAGGTGGTGGTGGATTTTTGTGTATCATAGCGAGATCACCTGAAGACGCATCGCGTGTAGTGAATTTACTACAAGATCAGGTATTTAACAAATAGATCTCATTTTTCCGTGCGTGTGTACTCTAATAGATACACAGATGACGTCAAAATGTAGTGAGAACAAAAAAGTACGCACGAGACGCAGTCGAGTGCGTGACTGTTGTTCTCACTACATTTTGACGTCATCTGTGTATCTATTAGAGTACACACGCACGGAAAAATGAGATCTATCTGTTTTATACAACAAACAATTAGTTTTGACGTAATCCGTGTATCTATACTTTGATAACACACGAAAGCCAACCAATCAAAACGTCTGATTTTACTGAAAAGTTGTATAAAGTAAGATATACTATAACATTGGAACGGTTATCCGTATGTACATATCATGGAGTTAGTAAGTTAGCGTCTTACTTATCGGACTCGCGGGGAAGTGAGTTTGACTGTTATTCTTTTTGAAAAGAAGGAGTAGTCTTGAATTTTTAAGGAACGCTTAAAATTAAAAACAACTCAATTATGTAATATGTTCGTTGCATTAATAAAAAGTTTATAATCGTGCAAGAAATATTTATTACATGACCACTGAATAACATGCCATTTTTCTATTGTTTCAGTTTCCTGACGAAATCGAGTTTTATAAAGTCTCTGTAGATGACGAAGGGCTTACGGTTAAAGTAGAGGAATCTTGATAGCTCAAAATAATAGAATTTATAGATATTTCTAGTTTTAATAATTTGTAGAAAATGTGCGGAAATTAGGTTTCAGAAGATCTTATATAGTGCAGTTTTGCTGACTGTACTGATCCGCCCCCTCCCCCCCTCTTTCTTCCCCCTCTTTCTTCCCCCTCTCCCCCTGCGTGTTACGTACTCACACTTGGCCTGACGTCATAGTAGCAAACTTACGTGTCCCACTAGTGTAAAAACATACGTTATATTCGACTTTATCGCCATTGACTAAGACTTCATGACAAGTCAATAGTTTTCAGTCTTTTAGACACAACAGAAATCAATAGAATGAGCGGCTAATTAGCCGTGTGTTTGGCACACGTGCTGTACCGAACTTCATTTGTGCTAAATATTTTTCAGTACAACCCCCCCCCCCCCCCCCCCCCCCCGATCCGCTCTTGGCTCTTGATTATGATATAAAATGAATTGTCACAATGAATACAATAAATGTGAGATATAGTAGTGCTAACTGATGTGGATTTTTTTTACTTTAAATTTTCAATTGATTGTAAAAAAAAAAAACAATTATTGTAGCAAAGTATACAGTCAAAACAATGACTGAATCAAAATAAGTCCATAAGATGGATCAAGTATTTGTAGTCATGGATCTGTTCATAAATAAAAGAAATTTGATAAAGATATGGCGTTGATGATTTTGATTAAAAATAGTGTTCAAATGTATAACCCTAACCCTAAGGCTAACCCTAAGGCTAACCCTAACCCTTGCCAGCCCTACGCTAGCCCTAACCCTTGCCAGCACTGCGCTAGCCCTAACCCTAGGAATACTCACAGTGACTGAATTCATCAAACCAAATACTTAAAAGTTAATGCGTCAAAATCAAAAAGTTATTTTCAAACATGAACATGGCGAGAGAAATTTTCATTTTATATTTCTTTTGCTTGTTTCTGACCAAGGGTAAAAAAAATAAATCTGATTTAACTTATATTCATTTTTTTATTTAAAAAAAGATCAAAATTCATAGTAGTATATTTTATTTTATTAAAAACATTTACCCTTAAAAAACACATCRAAAAAAGTTAAATTTTCAATTGTTTTTTTAAAATTGATACTTACAGTCATTATAAATATGCGATTTCAATTACTCGCCCCAGTCTTACTCGTACAAAAACTGTCTAGATACCAGTCTCTTTACACGTGCAAAGCCAAGATGGCCGACAGAAATGTCTGAAGAAGGTGCCTGTTTTCTCTTCATTTATTATACATCAACGAGACTTTTATTCAAGTTTCTGGTCATCATAAGGGATTTATAAATGTTTGTTCATGCCAAAGAAAGGTAATTTTGTGATATTTCTGAGTTTTTGGGGGAGTTAATTGTATGTGTTTCCGAGGAACCATTTTGTCTAGCGCATCGTAGCGTGATTTTTAGTCTACGCACAATTTAACTAACAAAATAGTTCATTACTCTGAAATATACATTTRCTATCTCAAAAGGAGTTATAGTATATTTTTATTGAGTTATATATATATTTGCGTTGTACTGTTGAGATGGTATCCTATAAGCTTAGTAATAATACAACTTGCATGCAAAGAAAGATCATTTAACGTTGCTAACATTGTATTCACAGATATAGAGATGATAGAAGCAATTTCTATCATATAGAATACCAAGTAAACTATGGCATGGCTGGATATGAATTTTATCGATAGGACGTTCAACAGGTTATGTTGGAAAGGGARTSTTTCTCTGATCAGCAGAACTTTGTTTGTCCAAAGTACAGTTGAACTATGTTGATGACCATGGTGGCTCTGCTTGAGTCCATAAACATGACAAAAATGATGAAGAGCTGCAATTTTGGCAACAAATAGACTGCTCAATACACCTGGTCTACTACAAGTATAATTTAGGTATGGATTATTGTTATTTGTTATTGATATACTTTGCAATTTTTATAATTTTGTTCCACACAAAACTGTGACACTATATAATGACTTACTGTTTATGTTGACCAAAGTGAAACCTGTATTAGTGGCCTTAATAATGAGAGATACCTCTCAAGGAAAAGTCTTGMTATAACTCCCAATTATGGAGGGGTGAAGGACAATGATTGTCCATATGCATAACTGATAGTGTGGGGGAGGGGTAGGGCTACTACTGTGCAGGGATGGGAAAGTARATTAATCACAATGCAAAATGTTGAAAATAAGTTTAATTATCAATTTTTATTTTTGATTAGCTTGACAGTGAAGACTCACATAAACACAAGTTACTTTCTGTCAMGCTTGGCAAGGAAATATCTGACAGTATGGTAAGTTGACACTTTAACATGACCAGAAGTGAATATCAAATAAGATKCCAAAATATCCTTATAACTTGAAGTATTTTATACCAATTCAGTAGTCCTGCTTGCATTAAAGATATTTTATTTACAGAATATTGTTGTTGTAGATTTTCATTCTGTATTTTGTTTTTGTTTCAGATCAATTCAAACTGTCTCTAAACAAGATGTGAACAAGAAGAAGATAACATTTCATAGAATATATAACTATCAGCAATATTCAAAGAACAATCTTTTGGCTGGAGGGCTGGSTTTTCTTGTTTTTGCAAGTTTTTGTTTATTTTCCTGAATAATTGCCTTTTACTTAAGTAATTTTTCTGAGTATTCCTCAGTAATGATTCCTGATGCCAATTTCTTCAGTGCACTATTAAACAGTGCTGTGTTTCAAGAATCTTAGGAATTGAATAAGGTTGAAAGAGTAACTTAACTTAGAATGAAAATGGCCATGCCAGTCCTCCAGCCACAAGCAATAGATACAGGAGTGTGTCCATATTAGGTTAGATTCCCTGACCTAACAATTATTCCTTGCAGTCATAATTTTAAAAAAAGTTGTCTTGTAGTTTAGGTCAGAGTTCTCAGTTACTTTGCACAGTGTTAGGACACACTCCTGTATCTATTGTTTATTTATGACAAAAAAGAAATAAACTTCATGCCTCCCACGAGGCCCTGCCAGCACCATAACAGAAGCCACCCCAAATGCAGGCCAGAAAATCTAAACAGTAGTCTTGCTGCCCTGACTAGAGCCAAGTTATAAGGCCAAGACCAGCAAACYTTAGACTGCCCTGATACTGAAGACTGTCTGCATGGATGTCAGACCTCCACTTACTGCAGACTCCAGGGGAGGACTCTGGTGTCATCCAAGTCAGCAAAAAAGGTGAGGGTCAGTGCAAATGCGAGTCTTGTGGGCCCCTGCCCCACCACCCACTGGATATGTATGGCAKTGATGTACTGGGTGATCAGTAGGCTTGAAGTGATGCTTCATTCAGACTTCTCCAAACTAAGTGATTATCAAACTGACATGGAAGACTTAAAAATCAATTTTTCTGGGATARTATTGAGGGTTTAAATGTCGTTGGCAACACTGCTAAAATGGCCTCTACTACAGATTGCAATTTAATTGAAGTTTTTTCACCAGCAAAGTGAAGACCTCAGCCTTCTAAAACAAATAAACTAAAAACTTGATAAATTAATAAATCCCATATCAATGCTTTCCATCTTTTCCTTTGAATGATTTATAGGAATTCTGAAATTACATTGTGTCATATGAAAAAAATGGTAAACTGACGTGAAGTAAGTCGCATTGATACTTGTCAGAAAAGATGCTGAACATAYTTTGAAAATCAGGGAAAAACACATCAGATGTATCCTTCCAAAGCATGATAAAATGAGAAATTGMAGAATGGACAAAGTTATACAAAAGCTCAAACTTTTTCTATATGAAATCCTTCAAACATTGAGACAGTAAACACCATTTAAATTGGGCTGAGGTCTTCAAAAAATATTGCCAAATTATATTATCAGACAAATTTATTGGTTCATGTAATATCAGAAAAATTTCTTAGAGAGACGTAAGAGTAATGATGGCTTACAGAAGTATATTGAATGCAATCAACTGAGAWATACTTTATCTATAGTAAATGAATATTTGAGGTAAAGGTGAACCGTGAAGGGTTAAAAACACCACCTCAGTCGTTGAAACTATGAATGAGAGGTAACACGATGTACCCCGATGTACAAGGACTTCAAGAAAAACAATTTCTTGTTTTATTGCAAACAATGTTAATATAAATTAAAAGGAAAATGAAATGGAAAAGATGCCATCACAATGTCCACAATCACATCTGAATATTTCATGTTGATATTATGAAAGTTCTCTAGAAATATATAATACAGTTCAAGATTCAAGAA